TTGGTTCGGTCTTATATATATATATATATATATATATATATATGTCAAATTCAGTGTATTCCAACCAACTGCTTATTAACTTTATAGCTAAAAATTCTATGAAAAAATATAATTAAAAATCAGACATCTTCAATTAAAAATTATAAATCGATTAAATTCACAGTACACTCACAATGCCAATTTACTATCATAATATCGAAGTAATGGCTAGTGTTCAATGTCAAGCGGCAAATTGGAGTTAATTTATACTTCACCTCCTCCATTTGTTCAAAGATCAATATATCATCAAATGTATCCGCTTATTAGTTAATCTACAGTATTTTATTAAAGAAAAAATGTGTGTCGAATTAGAAGCCTTAATAAAGGTGGTTGTTTAAGTTTTTTAACTAAAAATTAATCATAATAAAGTTAATTATTAGTACTTCATATTAATGAATTTATGTTTAAAATTAATATAAAAAAAACATATATGTGGATCATGGATGACTTTTGCAGCCCATTTTTTTGTAAGCCTTAAATATGTTCAAATTATCTCCTATTAGGCTAATTTTTGTATTACTACTTATTATTTTTTGTTTTAAATATTTGACTATTTTTTTTTAATTTAATACCAGACGTTAGTCCTCATTTGTTAAGTGACGACGTGGCTGACAGATTGTCACATCATCATCCAATAATATCTTAATATGTAATAATCTAAAAATTGACTTAATTAAAGGTAGTTTAAATATATTTAAATTTTTTTATAAAGATTAATAAGTATAAACAATAAATTTGTAAGTTATAATTACATTGGAAAACGAAGTAAAATGCAATGTTATACTTTCTCATTAAAAAACTACTTTTGATTAAGGACACTTGTTATATTTTTCTATTCGATTATTGTCTCTTTATTTTGTTTTTAAGATTACGTTCTCTATATTTAAATATAAGCAAAAAAAAAAAACCACAAAAATGAGTTAAAATAAAAAATAAATCTGAACTATTTTTTATATGTTTAATTATATTAATTTAAAAATAATTTTCATTTAATTGAAATTCTATTTTCAATAACTTTTTTTTTTATTCTTGGTATCAAATTTTAATAACGGTTAGTAGTGTTTTTTTATAATTAAAATTAGTAAAATTTAATGATAAGAAATAAAATTAAATTCTGTTAACTAACTTTTTTAACTTAAAAAGTACAAATTATTTAATTTTGTTTATATTTTTTTATGAGTAATTCTTTAGGAAAAAAATTGTTTATATTTATGTATCATTTTCAAAATTTAAAACTAATTCAATTAAACTCTCACTATGTATATAATTTTCATTTAATTTATATACTTCCCACTTGTATGTGTTTATCATGGGGTAAAAAACCAAAAGTACAATAAGAAATATTAAAAATATTTTTTAAAATTCAATATATTTGAATTTCCTAAGGAACATATTTTTTAGAATCGACCAATATGTTTGCAATCCTCTATGCAGACCAACCCCCAATAAAATCTGTAATACAACGATGGAACACAATTGACAAAAAAATAAGATCATAAAACAAAATAAGAACTTTAAACCTGTAATCTATAGGGCTTCACCTTTTTTACTTTTTTACTTTTTTAACTTTTTACCTAGTGTCAATTAAATACAGTGTAAAAGAGAGTAAATTCTCCTATCATGCACATGTTCCTGGACTTGGATATAGGGCCCAAACCCAAATCCGCCGTCTTATTTTCCATTTACAATAGACCCGACCCAGTTGAGAAGCAATCCAGTGGTAGGCAGAGCATAGTAGAGCAGAGTATACACTAGCTTTCAATCTTGTGACGGTTGAGGCTATCCCAAAGCGACGCGCATTGCCTTTTAGCAAAGCCCACGCGCTGGTTTTCCAAGTCATAGACGACCTCAAACCCCTGCTGCTGATAGTTCCCAAGTACAGCCCCGGGCCCACCGCTCAAGTCAGCGTCATCACCGCCGTTCATCAGCATCATACACCCCACCTTCCTCTCAACCCCATCTCCACCGTACAAAAACTCGTAAAAATAGTTCCTCCTAGGCAGCACCACACTGGAATAACTCCCATTCCCCACAAAGTGCAACGTCACCTTAGGCACCTCCACCAACCCCTCCAAAAAATAACACTGCCCGAGGCCCGTTTTCTCCTCCACCTCACTCGCGCGCTTCGCAACTCGCCCCACTCGCCGCTCCAACTCACCCGCCACCGACCCATACAAACTCGCCGGCAGCATCGTGAAAGTGGTCCCGCTGTCCACCACCACGCCGCCGTTCCCGCGGCGGTCCACTCGCCGGAGCATCTCCGGCGCCGGAATATTCGTCTCCCCGACGGAAATCCCGGCGAGTCCGACGCAGTAGAAGTAAGGATGCTTAGGGTTGGGAATCATGGGCGTGTAAACGAATTCCCCGCGGTGGTTAAAATCATCGTAGTGGCCAAGAATGAGTGGACTCGGCGTGGGAACTCGTTGGAAGGAGTGGGAAATTAAGCAATAAGAAAAGGTGTTACCGAGGTTGGGAGAAAGCGTTGAAAGCTGCGCGGGGAGGGATAATAAGCCTCGACCGAAACCCGCCACGCCGGTGGGTTCGGCGAGTGCGGTGTGGGCGCAGGCAAAGGTGAAGTTTTTGAGGGAGAGAGAGGAGATGGAGAGGGTGTGGCGGTGGAGCTGCGCCACGAAGCTTCGGTCGGCGTAGGCGTAGTAGAAAGGTGGACACGTGGCGGAGGAGCAGTCGGAGGTTTCGATTCTGTCCAAGGGACAACGTGCGATGGCGCAGAGGTCGTGGGGGTGCATGGAGGAGTGTGCTGCGGCGCATGCAGGGGATTGGCAGGAGACGATGTGGGAGTGTGTGATGTTGAGGGGTTTGGCGGCTATGAATTTTCCTTTTGTGGGACTGGGAGTGTGCTGCCATGCAGAGCATGAAACAGAGGAGGAACAGGGGAGGAGGAGCCATTCCTTTTACTGCTTTTTAATTTGTTGGAGAACGAGAGTTTATAAGTTGGTGGTGACGCTGTTATTTTTCTTTGATTCAAGTAATTATTAGAGAAGGGCATATTATAATCATTTATCTACTTTGCTATTGGAATAATAATTGTGGTTTGGCAGGTTAACCAAAGTATGAGAATCAGCAACTTGTTTGTCATCACTCGCCTTTCTCTGTTCATCGGCTGCTGACGCCTCCGCAACCTCATCAATGGGATTCAATTGGACCCTTTCCTAGGAAGAGTGATTTTGGCTAATTAGGTGTTATCAACCATTCTTGCTTATCATATATAGCTCCAATGGTTTCCTCAAGGTATTTATGATTCTTTAGATAGATGTGTTCCCTCGTTTGTTTGAAGAGATTAGGCAAACAATGTGAAGGATAATTAATAGTGTTAAAAACACATACATATTTTATTTTGTTTTTCAAATAAATATAATAATATAAAAATAAGTATCTTTTAAAAATTACATTTTTATCATAAATACATTGAAAGCAATTTGAATATTTGTTGTTTTTTGTTGCTAGCTAATTTTATCATTAGAAACAATTTTGACCAAATATAATATTTGAGTCGAATATTCTTTATCAACTATTCCAACATAAAATTCAACAAATATTTCAAATAATTTATATTATCTATACTCTTTTTTTGGTAAAGATATTATCTATACTCTAATTGCTAGCAAAGAATATAATAATATTTTACTTAAAATTATTTAATTTGATTAAATCAACAACTATTAAAATAATTTCTTTAATAAAGATTAGAATTTAGAACACTTATTTGTTTGTGACCCCGTAACTTCAATATTAAGCTAGCAATAAATTAATCAAAATAATATATTAATCAAGGTAGGCATGTAACAATATTTTTTAATGTTCAAATAGTATAAAATAATATTTTATTTTCAATAACTTAGAAAAATATAATATTTTTCTTTATTGTTACAACTCTTGGTTAACTCTAAAGTATTGTCAAATTTTATTAAGTTAACCTATCATGAATGACTTAAAAAACTTATTTCTTCTTTCAATCAATTTTCCTAGCTAAGATATTATTTTATTCACAGAGCTCAAACTCATTATCAAGAGTTGATGAATTTTTTCTTGATTTATTATTAATTCTAGAAGCATTTGAACATATCTAATATTCATTCAACTAATACCCTAAGACATTAGGTGTCTAAAATTAAAATATAATAAATTACTTGTTAATTATTATGATAATCTCAGGTTAAAGAAAAATATTTAATTCTTTCTTGAGAAAATTCTATTAATGAATTAAAATAATATAAATTATTAAAATTTTTCAATTGAATCAGTTCAAATAATCATATGTACATATGCATCATCAATATGTAATTAATAAATGAGATCTATTAATCTTTATCCAATAAAAATATTTAAATATATTAATTTATTTAAATTTATTAATGTCTCATATACAACAATCATATAATAAAGAATAATTTAGATTAAAATAATAAAAAAAATTATTTCTCATTATCAAATTATCTATTTAACAAATAAGTAAATACGATAATAAATAATAACACATTATTAAATTGAATATTTAATTATTGTCGAAGACGATGGTTTACACATGGTAGGGTGGCATAAAAGGTCAAAATGTAGGCGATGGGGGGGCCTGGGTTTGCGTGTCGTGCACAATCAAACACAACATTGGTTGGAAAGTTGATATGGGTTTGGAGGTTTAATGTTTTTGGCTTATATTGGGGCAGGAACATGTATGCTTGGTTAAATGATGATCCTAAGGTGAGTTGGGGATGGCTTTGGAAGCTCCTTCTTCCAACAAAACTCTAGTTTTTCCTTTGACAATTTATCCATGTTCGACCCATTCTCCTGAGCCATGAGGTTAAGTGCATATATGGAACCAATTTGGCTTCTCCCTCGGGAGAGTTTCCCTGGATGCATGATTTGGCCAGAGTTTGCTAGCTGAAGAATATTCTAGTTGATCAACAAGGCTGAGTGAATCTTGGTGGCCTTTGCATGGATTCAGATTATTTGTTAGTATTAGGAACCTTATTTGTTATTCAGATTCTCTTGCGGCTATTAACATGGTGAAGGATGGTGTTAAAGCTCATCATATGTTCATGCTAATGAAATTGCACAGATCAGAGCCATCATGAATAAGAACGCTGAGTAATTTGTAGCATTCACCATTATCTTCGTGAGGGTAACCATTGTGTCAATATTCTCGGGGAGGGAATCAATTTGTGCTTCTGGATTCAGCGTCTGCTTGCTTATCTATTGTCATGCATGCGGACGTGTCTGGTGTCCCTTTTAGAAGGGATTCATTTATGTTCTTTTACTTTTTTTTGTTTTCATTTTGTTTTTCTTATCTCTTATAACAACAAAAAAATCAATTAAATTGAACGTATATAGTTTATTGCATTACTTTTTAATAATTATACTATTAGTGTCGAATAATACTTTACTTTGCCAATGAATAATCTTTCACATCAACTAAATTATACACATATATAACTAATTGTATTACTTTTTCAAACTATATTATCAATATAAAATATTTATCAATTTTGTGGATGTATAATCTTTACTATAGAAAAATCCTTAATTTTATTTGATATCATCTTTAATAATTTCAAATTGCAGCTTCTGATAAAGATATTACAAGAAAACACTGAAATAGTTGTAAAAAATAAGTGTCGATTAATAACTGACGCTGTCGAAAAAGATAACATTATTTTAAGATATAACGTCAACTTTTTAAATACTAAATTTAAATTGAGTTTAGTGTTGAAAAAATTGATGTTATTATTTAAATATAGTGTCAACTTTGCTAACACTAATTTAATCAATGTTTTTATCTTCAATATTATCCATTAATGGAGATCATAATTTTGAATATATTATTCATATTTAAGTGCATAAAAGAGAATATATCAATGCATGGAGTAGTATAACTTTAGATATGTAAATTCATCAATTTCTTTTCAAAAGATAGATAAATTGTATCGGGTTTACCTTTTATTATTATTATTATTATTATTATTATTATTATTATTATTATTATTATTATTAGTATTAGTATTTTATTAAATCTTATAGTATTATAAATCCATATATTCTTATAAAATCTTATAATATAAATTCATCAAAATCTATTAAAATATAAATTATAAAATCCTAATTAAAATTCAAGTTTTAAAGATCTTTTAAAAAAACATCTTTAAAGCCATGAGATTTTTATAAAATCTTTTAAATTCATTAAAATTTACAATATATTTTTTACATGAAATTTCAATCCTGTTTAGAGCTGCGTCGTATCATCTAATTTTCACGTCCAAAATTCACATGGAGAAGTTACATATATTACTTTCTGATTTTTTACGTTTTGGATCCACTTTTCTTTTTTGGTTCTGTCGCGTAACCATACACACTCTTAAAGTAGCTGTCAAAGTGAATCTGGATTAATAATTTGAATGTAATATTTTAAGCAAACACTAGTTAGTCAAAGTTTCTTCTAGACGACTACTTTTTCTTTGAATAGAGTAGTACCTCTGTTCTCCAATTTTGTTGGGTTATATCAATATTGAGAAAATAGTCCGGATACAATGTAAAAGAAAAAAAAATAACTTTATTATTTAATAAGAATGGTTTTTATAGAAAATTTATTATTTTTATATTAATTAATTTGAAAGTTATATCAATAATATTTTAATTGATTAACAATATATATATATATATATATATATATATATATATACTGCTTACTGTATATAAAAATTAAACTCTAATAAAATAAACAAATAATTTTGAAAACCAAATTTTACAATAGGTCCTTCATAAATTTGGAAGTAGTTATACAATATTTTCTTTTATAATTATCTCATCTCTATTATTAATTCTAGAGTTTTGCTTGGTTGACATATTTTTTATTTAATAAAAAATTATTAAATGGCATTTAATAATTTTATATACTATTTATTTTTCTATTCATCTTTCTTGTTTTATTTTTCATTTTAAATATTCTTTTAATTTTTAAAGTTTCATTAACTTTACCTTTTAATTTTCATAATTAAAAATATTCTGTTGTAATTCTTACACAAATTGTTTTTTATTTCTCGTAATATTTGTAGTTTTATAAACTTTCTGTTTTAATCTGTAAGATAATAAATACAACACTATAAAGAGAAAAAAAAAATCCATAAATAACTATGATTTTTAATTCTAGGAACTAAAATTAAGATTTATGAATCTTTAGTAACAAAATGAATATTTAAACCTATTTTTTTTAGTTATCTTGTGTTCGCAACTTTTCTTTACTTATGTTCTTCACCTTTCTAACCAATATATAGATACTCCTTTCGGACTCATTATAAATAAATTTAATTAATTTATATCTTAATTAAGAAAATTAGTTAATTTTGTCTAATTTTTTAAATATCAATAAAATCTATATTTTTTTTCCTACAATACCCTTCATAATCTGATTTATTTATTTATTTATTTGAAGTTAAGATTACAATATGTTTTTAATTCTTAAATTTTAAAACAACATTGTATAGGTATTCAAAGTATAACAAAAATATGTACTTTTAATCCCACTATAAATATCAAAATTTAATTATAATGCAAAAATAAATAAAACCTAATATAAAAAATCACATTTATAAGAACTTAAAATATACTCAGAATGAAACTCTATAACTATAAATTATCATCTTATATAATGATAATTTTAAAAATATATCTAAATTAATTAACAGTGTAAAATATTTTCCACTAATAATGTATAACTCTTGAGTTTATTAAAAAAATATTTGAATGTATAAATACTAATAGGCTGAAAGCATGATTTAACTGGCTTAAACGATTACTCCTCACGATGAGGAAAATGGAAAGAAAACATTTAATAAAAAAATATGAATACAAATCATGGCAACAATTTAATCATAGAACTAAGAAGCATCAGTTATACATACTCTTCAAGGCAACTGTGTGGCAAAATAATGGCTGTTAAAATTGCAACCTTTGTGTCCTACCTACTGATGTCACTTTCACAGTATTAGTGGATGATAGCTATTTGGGTCGGTCTCACCAATTATTTGTCTCTAAACATGCAAAATATTATAGTTTCGCTTTGCTGAAATTCTTTATGCCTTGGTTCCACCCAAGTTTAGGTGAACATAAATATATAAATTGCATTTTTTGTGGTTGAATTTGGTAGACACACTAAGGGAAAGCACTTATTTTCTTTATTCCTTTGTGATTATTAATATGGTCAACAAAGTAACATAAGATTGGCTGCTTCGGCAAAACAAAGTCATGTACCTAATGGATGGTAGACTAATCCTAAGAAGTAACATTAATAGGAATTATAAATTATAATGCTTCAATGGTAGCAGGCGACGACCAAAAAGGAAACACAACGAAATTCTGCATTGTTGGTGAATATATAGACAATTCAGAAGCCATTAAAAGTTCATTATCATGTAGGCCAATCCTGGAAAATCCAACTCATCTAATCATTAATTTGAATTTTTTAAAGTAATGCTAACATTAAATATATATGCCAAATCCTTTTGCCTTGCTGGTTTCATTTCATTGTTGGCAGATAACATATAATATGCTCGAATGAAAAATGTTTCAGCTACAAACTTTCAGGCTTTGGATTATCTTTATTCTTGATTCTTCTCAACCACAGAATTTAATATAACTTGTGCACTTTTCCTAAATTTTTATTTTACAGCTGTTGGCATAGCCTTTTATTTTGGAATTCATGGTCGATAAATTGATTATTTATGTCTTCTTGTGAATCAAAAAGCTACCATACTCGTTCTACTTTTTGAAGTTGGGGGGCAACTTATGAGTTTTTGGTGCATAAATTTGTCTCGGTAGTCATTACCATTGCAAAATATCTCCTTCAATGTTCTGGCAAAGCATTGAATTGGAGACCTGAATTCAACTCTGCCAACATTATCATAAAGGCCTTTCACTAAAAAGTCCCAAATTCTTTTATTATATCATTTGGAATACGTTTCCTAGTTTTGACTCAACAATATAAGATTTTACACATGTTGGTTCAACATTTCTGCATAGCCAATTAATCTGCCGAATTTCTTGGTTTAAGAACAAAAACTTCTAATGGTTATGATCTGTGCAGTTAAAAACTTAACTGTAGGAGATCTGAATCTGGAGCAGATTGTTGTTTTCATTTGTTATTTCTGAGAAGATGGTTATAATGGTTACGGCTACTTATTCAGTTGATGGGTGCTTAAATTTAAGTTTGATAAACGTCCTCTTTGTAAGGAGGCCTTTTGGTTCAATGATTATAAGGGATGTTATGAGATACATGGTCGACTTACTATTAAATTTTATTTTTATCTATGTTAAAATAATGTATAATCAAATGCAGATTCAAACTTTAATACTCAACCTTAAGACAGTGTAAATTACATCTATGAAAAAAAAAATTGTGTTATATTTTATTTTTTATCGGATGTCCCGAAGAGACATTTAATTTTAGTTTTTAAACAAAAGAATCTACATGTTTAGTAATGCATAATTGTCAATCCTCAAAAGCAACAATTGCCCTGTTGGTCAAGAATAAATGGATTGATTTTTTGTTATTTGTATATGTTTATACATTGACAACAATAAAGTTTAATTTTTTTATCCAACAAAGTTTAAATTTTTTATTTGGTGCAAATTATCCAAAATTTTCAACACTAAGCAGTCCTAATGGATTAAATGCTTTGATTTAGCAATACCGCAATACCATCTAGTTGCAATTGATCAAAATATCAGAGGTGAGCCAATAAGATATGATCATGTGTTGTCTTGTTAAAAGAGCTCATTCGATCCGTTACAGAAAGTCTGAGATATTGTATAGTGCTTCACCAAATTGAAATTATTAATAATCATTTAAATAGGTAAAAAAAATATAATTATAATACTTAAATGATCACTAGAATTAGTCTAATGGTTAGATGAAAAAGGATTGAAGTAGTTAAAAATATGAGGACCTAAATTATATCTTCATTGTGACCATCTTTATAATATTTTAAATTTTAAGAACTAAAATCATATTATTATTATACATGACGAATAAATAAACGCATTTAAGTCTAAATAATAAAATGAAAAACTAACAAAATTTTGCCAAATTTAAACCCCCAATAAAATCCAAAAATTTTGTCATAATGCAAAAGTTGAATTTAAAAAATTTTATCTTTAAAAACTGCGACAAAATAATGATGCAAAAGTGCACACTAAGCGCATGAAAGCTGACAAATTAATACCGATAAGTGCCCAAAAAGATTATCCGTACACCACCATCTAAGTTAACATCTAAGTAATATGATACTGTATTATTAAAAAGAGAAGAAAAACAACTCAAAATGATAGGTATTCCCAAAATATTTGAAAAAAGCTACATAAACTACAAACTGTGACAACTAAAACAAGCTACACAAACTACGTGTTCTCATTAAATTATTATAAAATATTAAAGATATAATAAATAAATAAAAAGTACTTTATTTTGGATAAGACTTCATGATTAGTATATAACAAATGGCATTAAATTTTAAAGAACACTTAACAAATTGACATGTCAACTACTACATTTATGCAGATTTATACTAGACTGTCTCAACACAATGCATCTGTCCAAAAAGCTTTCCTACCAGCCGCAAATACACCAAGTAAAATTATTAAAACATAATCATTTTCTCTTTATTTTATTCTTTGTTTAACAAAATTTGGGAAAAGAAGATGACGCTCCCGTTTAAGGCAAGAAAGCCTTCAAGTTCAAGAAACACTTATATAGGATTTTATATTTACCTCATCCTAAAGATGTGAGACCCTATCATGCTCCACTGGAGAGTTAGCTTAATAAATTTATTTTCTCAAATGTTGAAGTACCACGTATAATATTGCTACCTATACCCAAGTCTTCACTATAGTTATTTTAAGGTCATAGAAAAAGAATTAAGAATTGCTGATAAGTAAAGGACTATATAGAGAGTTAAAGAATTTTGTCTGTGCTAGTGTTATAATAATATGGTAATCACCAGACTCACCACTACAGTATCCTGTTGTTACAACACAGCAAATTATACTAAATATCCGTCAGTAGAGCTACTGAATTGTGATACATGTATAGCAAATACCATTATTATTGTTCTCCATTTGAAGGTCGAGACATCACATCAGGCATCATGATCAACAGATCCAAAAGGATAACTGTACCTACAAGTTTTGCTTGTCAGAAGACTGAACTGAGGTAAGTTTGAATGAGATCCAATCTATATAGCATCTTTCTGGAAAGATGAAACGCCAAATATAAGTACAAACAATAACTTCAAGTTAACTAGACTCTGATTGTTTTAACTGCAAACCATGTTTCTTGGGCAGAAGAAATGTTGTGGGAGAACATCTGTTGGTGGTGTCTAGTTATGTGCGCGTCAGTTAACCTAGACCATTGATCTTTAATTGGAAAGCATTATCAGGTTGGGGTAACTGGAAATCAAACAGACGCTTATACTTTTGATTGACCCGTGGGCAATGGCTTTATCTTTTCCAGAAACTTCTCCGCTTCAATGAAGCCAAGGGGTCCAAAAGACAAGTATTTTATGGATCTCCATCTGCTTAAAGCTCGTGAAGTAGCAAGTTTAAGTATCCATGCGGCATAGATGACAAGCCAAGCATACAGTAGCCACAGAAGATAAGAAGGTACCTGGGTGAATATGGTAGCGCCAAACAATGGAGGTGTAAGTGGTTAACAGAGTTCAGCGGAGGCTGATGAAAGCCAAATCTGTCCAAAAAAAACGTGATAGAAAGAATCCAATTGTCATGTATTGTTCAAGTACAACAATCAACTTCAGATCAAATCAACCTCCTGCTTTAAACCAGTGCCATAGATCTCTGTAATATTTTCTTGTTCTTGTTTTTCACGTCTTAATAAATATCCAATTCTTGTTCAAGAAGCTTGCAGTTTATTTATTGTTAGTAATCTAGGTCTGATTAACATGTGCAAAGCTCAAAATCTGATTAAAAAATCCACAATACGATTGATCCAAGTCAAATTACAAAATATGGGTATTCTACATAACCCTTTATTTTTCGTCTCAAAATATCTCCATAGTTACATAGAATGTTAAACAGAACATGTAACACAAGACAGAAAATCGAACAAATATCAAGACATTACCCCTCAAATGTTAACGCACCAACAAAAATTCATCTCCAGCTTACCATGTTTCATGCACAAAGACAACCACGGTCAATGTTGTATCGCAAAATACAGGAGTGCATCTACATAAATGATAGGTGGTGCCAGTAATTTAGATAAATAGAGAACATTTCTGCTTGATAAAAAAGCATGATTAAATTACTCTTTTGGTCCTACATTTTCATAAACTTTACTCTCTTTGTTCTCTATTATAAGCAGGAAAAAAAAACATTTCTTGTTCTCAAATATAAACAAATTTAACTACTTTTACATTATTTAATGATATTTTCTCTAAAGTATTTCTTCTTTAATGAATGACCTCTCGGTTGCATAATTTCTTTTGACATTTATAATAAAGACAATTTAAGAAAAATCTTATGGAAATAGTAAAATTTAATGCAAATAACCAACTTTCTTAATATGTGTAAAATCAGTTTTTTTTTGCTTATAATAGATAACAAAGAGTGTACTTCTTATCCCTTATAATTAAGAACTTTCCATTTCAGTTCTTAAATATACCAACTTTGTTTTCTTTTAGTATCTATTATCTATTGCTATAGAGATTAAAAGGTAAAATTTATTAAATTAGAAGGATTAAAAAGAAACAAAGACAGTATATATAGAAACTAAAATATAATGTTTTTAATTATAGGAGCTAAAAGGTAAAATTTATAAACCTATAGGGATCAAAGGGTAATTGAACCAAAAAAAACAATTGAATACAGCTAGTGTCAAGAAAAAATAAATATTAATAATATAGGAGCAGTTTAGATTTTGCGAGTGTTAGTCAGAACACACGTCAAGTTATAGGCTTAGGGTTTTTTTGAATAAACTTTTCTAGAAGTACTTCTAGGAGAACAAAATAGGAAAAAAATGAATAAATTTCTGCATAAGTTAAAATTGACTTATGCATAAGCTAATTTGTAGAAGTTTTCTTCTATTATTAGCTTCTCCAAAATCTTATTTTTAACTCATGTATAAGTTAGTTTTAGCTACTTACTTTGCTTTTTTCTTCCTATTTTTCTCTCTTAGAAGTGTTTCTAAAGAAAGTGATCCAAACAAGTCCTTGTAGGTGTGAAACCCATACTTCAAGTAACAATTAGTGGTAGGAATTACAATTTAAATCAGCATCATGGATCAATCTAATATCACAAACTGGACAAGCAGAAAATAATAAGCACAGTTGTAAACAACCCAATAAATACCTGTACTGCTGGGACTGAGGTGCATCTCTATGTAATAACGTTTTCCCCACCTCTAACATGTGACTCACTGTATAAAATAACCAGTCATGAAAATTGGAACATGCACATTTGAACACATTAGTTTTAAAATCTGAAGTGACCAAAGCTATCAGTTTCTTTACCCAAAGAATAGTCATCAGTTTTTCTCTGGAGATCTTTAACAGTCGGAATGTGCGCCACAGGAACTACCAAGTAATGCCTAAAAGTTGCCAGGTTCAAATTGGTCACCAAAATAAAAATGTCAATAAAATAAAATAAAAACTGAAAAAATTAGTCGCCCGTGAAATTGGCAAATGAAAATTGCAATGCATGAGAATGAAATGAAGAATTGTGAGTACCTGAATGCAGATGGATTAATGTCCTGAAAAGCCACGACCTTATCGTCCTGCAATTTGAGAATATTGGGAAAGTGAATCAGAAAAGAAACAGAAAGTGAAAGATGAAGGGAGAGAGAGAGAGAGACGAACGGAATGAAGAAGAGAGGTGGATTTGGTGGCAATCGCACAGAAAACACAGGACGCAGTAGCTCCCGCCATTATTTTGCCCTAACGGAGGAGCCAATCACATCGCATTCGATGGAATGGAACATCCCAATTCTAATGCCTTCGGATTTTCCTCCTTTCGCCACGCGCCGCAGGTCATAACATAACCCAACATTATTCATTTATCAAATAATTTTAAAGTATTTTTTAATTAAATGATTATATAAAAAGTATTCTAATGAACTCTATAAAATTATCAACATTAATGAGAAATCATCACCTGTGGCTGTAATTAAATTAAACCCTCGTAAAACGAGAGAGAGAGAGAGAGAGAGAGAGAGAGAGAGAGAGAGAGAGAGAGAGAGAGAGAGAGAGAGAGAGAGAGAGAGAGAGAGAGAGAGAGAGAGAGAGAGAGAGAGAGAGAGAGAAAAAACGACGATCAGAAAAACCATCCTAAACCACTAAACAATTTTAAAAAAAAAAATGAAAATTGATTAAATCAAAAACAAAATAACTAAGATTATATATAATATATAAGAAAAACTAAACATTTTAATAAATTAAGAAGTGATTTTAGTTCTGAAAATCGTAAGCGTTAACATGTTAATTCTTAGAATTAAAAAAATATTAAATAAGTTCGTAAATTTAATTATTATTTTTTCAATTCTTAAATACATATTAATCAACACTATTACTTTAGATATATAAATTTATATAAATTTATACATTTTAGATTAATATAACTATTAAGTTATATTTTTATGGATTTATTTAATATTTTCTTAATTTCAATAATTAATATGATATCGTTTTCTAAGTTTAACGACCTGCTCTATTTTTATAGTTTGATTCAATTTGTGTTTTTTTATTGTAAGATTTGAACCAAATCAAATTGAACCGTGCATTATTCTTAAATTGATTTTAATTAGTGGATATTTAACATTAGATAGTATCATTTCTTACTTTTAACAGCGATAACTGAGGTGCAAAATTTACTTTTAAATGTTATAGAAAAGGTAATATGCAAGTTACTTCCGTTACAAAAGATCATGGTAATGTTTTTAAAGAATAATGCAAAATAGTAGAAAAAAGAAGAATATTGTTTTGCAGTTAAATATCTTAAACACAAATTTAAATAAAAAAGTGAAAAATTATTTGTTCGTGTAAAATAATATAACATAATAATTATGTAAGGTTAGTTGTTAAATTTTTACATGACATTAATAATTTTTTTTAAAAATTAAATCATAAATGATTAGTTTAATTTAGCTCGGATGTGATATTGTATTCAATTTCATTTAATTTAAATCAAATCAAAGGATGTTTTATTTTTAGGTTTGATTTGGATTAAAATTGTTAAAATAGGTTTTATTGCATAAATTAATTTAGTCAAAAAATTTAACTTGACCCACTTTGACCTCATTCAGTGAGACTGGACTTGTGATAGGTTGGGTTATCTCACTTAACCCACTTACATCTCATTAATCCAATTCATTCACGATTCACTTAACTATTTCTTATTATATATGTACTATTTTAATAAAATCTCATTTTTTTATAAATTAAAATAAAATTGATGTTAAATAATATAAAATTGTTATAGATTTATCTACCCAAACCTCTAATGAAGTTTAATATTGATGGACAATCATTTCATTGTCAAGAATTTTTATTTTTTGTTTTAATTATTTAAAATTTTATATATATTAATTAATTTTAATATTTTATAAATAATATTTAGTTTGATAATTTTTATTTTAGATTGAAGTGTATTTCAAATTAAAATTTCTTTTAAAATAATAAACAGGTTGATGGATTGTCTTATTGCCCACCAACCGACCGGCCTAATCGAGAAAGTTTTTGAATATTTTAGCAGATGAATCAAGTCGGATCAATCTACTTAATAATAGGTTGAAGTGAGTCAAATCAAACTAATGATGATAGATTTGTTTAAAACAACACTTCCGAAAATCTTTTATTAAAAAAAATTGGAATTTTTTTATTTGAATTCAAAACTTGAATATAATTGTACCGCAAACGCGTCTAAATTTATCAGTCCAATTTAGCTATAACTAATTATGTAAACGTATAATTTAATTATGGATTTAACTATAAAGTTTTGTTTAGACAAATAATTTTCTAGAAAGGCAGTTCCTTCTGGTACTTAATAAACTAAAACTTGGACCATGTATATATGTATATTCTAGACACTATATATATGTATGCACTTGTTCCTTTCTGTCCAGTTTTCAGGTGTACTGTGTAGTGTGTAGTGACCAACCGGGTCGTTACAAATGATACATGCACTTTTATACCATTTTTATTAATTCTTGAATTTTTTTGAAAAAAATTTAAATAATTAGAAAATTAAAAATCAATAAAAACTAAAATTACAAAAATCAAAATTATGCATAAAGTATAATATAAAATAAAATATAATTAATCCTTAAACATTTTAAGGTATATCTCGGCCTTACAGGATCGATGTTTTGCTCTTTTAATTGTCAGTGGTTTCAAAATCTGCATCTAGAACTCATCATCATATGATTTTTCCCGATTTAGATTATTTTCCTCCATTACTTACATATAATATATATATATATATTCAACCATTTATTTATAGAAAATATCAAATAAAAATTATTGTTAGTTTTTAGAAATGAAAGCTATAAAATTGAAATTTGATTAATAGTTAAAATTAAAAGATAAGCATACATTACTTTTAAAAAAATCATATAATTAATAACTAATTTTTAACTTTAATCATTTATTTATGATTATATAATCTAAATTTACAGTTGTTATATTTTACAATAACTATAAGATCTATCTTGATAGATTATATTTTTATCTATCAAAATTAAAATAACAATAACAATATTCAAACTCCAAAACATATGCATACTATCCTAATTCTCCCCCACTAACTTTAATGGATCATTGAATACATTAAAATCACACACATGTGACTTTTATATTTTTTTATTCTGTCATATTATCCACTACGCACACCCATTTTATTTTATTTTCTTTTATGGTATCATATTATCCACACACACGGCCAAGTATACTAACAAAGGATCAGGTCTTGTTAGGATCGGCGGCGTCGCCAAGGACGCTTTCAACGCCAAAAAGGCTTCTTCGCACAGTTCGTTCCATGCGAAGGCCGAGGCCTTCCGCAGGAGTTTCGTCATAGGGCTAATTTTGTCGCCTAGACGCGGAAGGAATCGGGATAAGGCGACTAATCTTCCCGACAGACGTTGCAATTCCTTGAGGTTGCTTGGGCTCCGCATGTCTAGCACGGCCTGACATTTGTCTCGGTTAGCTTCTATGCCTCTCGCTGATAGCATAAAACCCAGGAATTTGCCTCCCCTAACCCCGAAGGTGCATTTCTCGGGGTTGAGTCTCATGTTGTGCTTGCGGAGTTCGCCGAAGATTTCGGCTAAGTCTGTTATGTGTTCGGCAGGAGAATTGGACTTGACCACTATGTCGTCGCGCCGGGCGCGCTTGCGAATGTGGGTCTCTGGCTGGTCCGCGCTGGGCGTGACTTGGACCGCGCTGGGCGCGATACCAGTTGTAACATATTTTGGGATTCTTGGTTTGGTGCTGAGCGCAATCCTTGTTGCGCTGGGCGTGAGACTCCTTGGGAGTCTCTGCCTTATGGGCGCTGGACGCAATTTGAATTGCGCTAGGCGCGAGGCCTTGGGAGGTCTCTGCCTTCCCCGCATTGGGCGTGGGTTTGGGCACGCCGGGCGCGTGGGACTCCTTGGAGTCTCTGCCTGGCATGCGCTGGGCGCAATTAGTATTGCGCCAGGCGCGTGAGAGCCTTGGGCTCTCTGGTTGAGTCCCGTCGGGCGCGGGCATGCTTGCGCTCCCCCTGGTGCTCTCTGGTTGTACTGCGCTGGGCACAACCACGAGTGCGCCGGGCGCATAGATGATAATTCACTATATGTTGTACAATGTTGTTTTGTGCTGAGATAAGTTGAAGTTGATGATTATGATGTGATGACTAGTAGATAATGTTGTTTGATGATGTTGAGCTGTATGAGATGAATATTGTTGTAAGATGTGTTGTAAGATGATATGTTGTGCTGTAAAGTTGTGCTGTGTTGTATGATGATATGAGTTGTTGTAGGCCATAATGGCTGAGTTGTTGTAGGCCATAATGGCTGAGTTGTTGTAGGAGATCTCCGAGATAATATGCGTGACGATGCATTATTTGTCATTTGCTGGTTTGTTGTACAATCAATGAGATGTAGGCTGACGATGTGTTGATAGTTGTAGTTGTTAATATTACTTAAATCTTGCTATACGTTGTTCTTTTTATACTAGCTTAACCTTTGTGTTTTCATGTAGTTGGACTGCTATGATCGTACTATGTACGAGAGCAGAGCAGAGATAGGTGGGTGACTAGTGGTGAGTCTGCAGCTGGCAGGCGGAGCTGATCCTAGTAGATGTTTTGTTGTTTTCAGCTACTTGGTGTAGTACCTTGGATGTATTTTTGTACATTTTGAATCTAGTCAAACTTGGACCATGTATATATGTATATTCTAGACACTATATATATGTATGCACTTGTTCCTTTCTGTCCAGTTTTCAGGTGTACTGTGTAGTGTGTAGTGACCAACCGGGTCGTTACAAATGATACATGCACTTTTATACCATTTTTATTAATTCTTGAATTTTTTTGAAAAAAATTTAAATAATTAGAAAATTAAAAATCAATAAAAACTAAAATTACAAAAATCAAAATTATGCATAAAGTATAATATAAAATAAAATATAATTAATCCTTAAACATTTTAAGGTATATCTCGGCCTTACAGGATCGATGTTTTGCTCTTTTAATTGTCAGTGGTTTCAAAATCTGCATCTAGAACTCATCATCATATGATTTTTCCCGATTTAGATTATTTTCCTCCATTACTTACATATAATATATATATATATATTCAACCATTTATTTATAGAAAATATCAAATAAAAATTATTGTTAGTTTTTAGAAATGAAAGCTATAAAATTGAAATTTGATTAATAGTTAAAATTAAAAGATAAGCATACATTACTTTTAAAAAAATCATATAATTAATAACTAATTTTTAACTTTAATCATTTATTTATGATTTTCTATGATTCTCGTAACATATGAGGAGTACTCTTGTATGTCGACATTATGGAAAGCTACGTTCTCCTTTTGGTACAGACACCATACTAAAAGTAAGTTACATCTTCAGTCATTCAAATTCTTTTCCCCCATTCATGTAAACATTGACAACTGAATCTACTATACTTTTCAAGGTTGATCAACATTCTGTATGGTTTATAGAGCTGTGTTGTGCACATGATTTGCAACATTATTTTGTTGAAATTTAGGTCAACTTTCATTAATGCATTTATTGGAGATGATATATGTCCTTTCAGAATCACTTCTGTTGAAATGATTCATAACATTATAATTTATATTTGCTCTGCAAATGGCTATTGTGCTCTATTCTTTTTTCTATGGCAAAAACTAAAATCATGTTGACTATATTTATCATGCCCCGAGATAGTCTCTGATTCTGAGTCATATTGCCTGAATACTATTCCTCATTGAATCAATCACCAATTTGCTATCCTTTTGGGGTTTGTATTTGATACAGGAAACTGATACTCCCGAGTCGGCAGTTGCAAAGCTTTTTGCATCTGCTAAGATGAGTAGCACAGAGTTCCCTCAATATGGGATGCCAAGTCATTGTTTGCAAAGTTTGCCTTCTGAAGAACAAATGAAGGTGTGTATTTAACTCCTGACCCACTTCAACTACAATATTGTTTTTTAGCCTTTGCTAATTTTGATTTTGATATAGGCAATGGCTCTTGAGGTTCAAAATCTTCTTGTTTCTGGGAAAAAGAAGGAGGCTTTACAATGTGCTCAAGAAGGACAATTGTGGGGACCTGCACTTGTTCTTGCTTCACAACTTGGCGATCAGGTCAGATATCAAAATTTCACAGTTTAATACTCTGCTGATATTTAATGCTTGGGCAGACAGTCCCTTTGGGTCTTTCAGTGTTTTTCTCATACTTTCATTGTGGGGTGTGAATTGGAGGCCTTCCGCAGGAGTTTCGTCATAGGGCTAATTTTGTCGCCTAGACGCGGAAGGAATCGGGATAAGGCGACTAATCTTCCCGACAGACGTTGCAATTCCTTGAGGTTGCTTGGGCTCCGCATGTCTAGCACGGCCTGACATTTGTCTCGGTTAGCTTCTATGCCTCTCGCTGATAGCATAAAACCCAGGAATTTTCCTCCCCTAACCCCAAAGGTGCATTTCTCGGGGTTGAGTCTCATGTTGTGCTTGCGGAGTTCGCCGAAGATTTCGCTAAGTCTGTTATGTGCTCGGCAGGAGAATTGGACTTGACCACCATGTCGTCCACGTAAATCTCGATGTTTTGGCCGATTTGCTCTCGGAACACTCTGTCCATTAACCTCTGATAGGTCGCTCCGGCGTTCTTAAGTCTGAATGGCATAACTCGGTAACAAAAGTTGGCGTTTTCAGTGATGAACGCCGTTTTCTCCTCGTCAGATGGGTGCATCCTTATCTGGTTGTAGCCAGAATAGGCGTCGAGGAAGCTGAAGATAGAGTGCCCAGATGCTCCGTCGACGAGTCGGTCGATGCAAGGGAGTGGATAGGCATCCTTAGGGCAGGCTTTATTAAGGACGGTGTAGTCGGTGCACATTCTCCATTTTCCGTTCGACTTCCTGACCAGGACCACGTTAGCTAGCCAAGTTGTGTATGTGACCTCTCTTATAAATCCAGCTTGTAACAATTTCTTCACCTCGGCGTTCGCGGCCTTTCGCTTCTCATCCCCCATCTTCCTTTTCTTTTGAGCAACTGGTCGTGCGTCTCGGCACACGGCTAATCGGTGGCATAAGAACTTGGGGTCTATTCCTGGCATATCTGATGTCGTCCAAGCGAAGAGGTCTCGGTTATCCCTGACTACACCTTTGACTCGGTTTGCGTCGGTCTCGCTCAACTGAGATCCCATGTTTGTGACTTGTTCGGGTGATCTGCCCAGTTGAAACGACACAAGATTCTCGGCTGGCTCGATTCGTTCTTCATCTAACCAAGGGTCAAGGTCGATATCCTCCACCGCGTGTTGCCCTACTACATTCACACCCTTCGCCTTCGGGGAGTCGGCTAACGGCTTCATTTTGAGGCTGGAGAGATAACATTCTCTTGCTGTTTTTTGGTCAGCATGCACGGTTATTACTTGGCCGTCTCTCGATGGAAACTTCATGCACAGGTGGGGGGTCGAGATAATCGCACCCAGGGCATTAATGGAGGGTCGGCCCAGTAGGATGTTGTATGATGTGTTTGCATGCACCACGATGTATCGGATTTTGATCTCTCGTGAGGACTTCTGGTCGAACCCAAACCGAGTGTACAAGTCAATGCTCCCTCTGGTCATTACCCTTTCGCTGGAGAATCCGACTAGTGGCTCGTGATATGGCTCTAGGCTTTGCTCCGGGATCCCGAGCTGCTTGAATGTGTTCCAGTACAAGATGTCGGCGGAACTCCGCTGGTCGACCAAAGTCTTCTTCACGATGCAATTGTGCATTTCCACATAAATCACCATGGGGTCATCTTGGACGGGATCGACGCCTCGGAAGTCTCGGTCAGAGAAGGTGATCGGAGGCATTTTCAGCATTCTTGACTGGTTCACGCTATTTATTGATCGTACCGCTCGGAGATGTCTTTTCCGGGCGGAACATGTGGAACCTCCCCCGGCAAAACCTCCTGCTATCGTGTTGATTATCTTCCTCGGTCGGCTGTTGTCTTCTCGGGCACTTTGGGAGTGGTCTCTCCTTTCGGTTGATCGAGAGGATAAGGCGACTAATCTTCCCGACAGACGTTGCAATTCCTTGAGGTTGCTTGGGCTCCGCATGTCTAGCACGGCCTGACATTTGTCTCGGTTAGCTTCTATGCCTCTCGCTGATAGCATAAAACCCAGGAATTTGCCTCCCCTAACCCCGAAGGTGCATTTCTCGGGGTTGAGTCTCATGTTGTGCTTGCGGAGTTCGTCTTGAAACCTCGCTCTGGTCGACAGGTATAATTATATTTCTTATTTTTTATTCTTATTTTTCTTTTATTCACCGCAGTGCTTCTGACTGTGCCTTTTCAAATGGTTCTTATTCTACATTATATTTAGGCTAAGTTGGGGGACAAAAACAAGTTCTACTATGATGAGAAGCTGAAGACATGGGTGGAAGAAGAGAATCAAGGGTTATATTGCTAGCAGAGAAAGCTACAGAAGATAAACACCTGTCACATTTAGCTGAAATTGCTGCCAGTAGGTATCCATTCATCTGCTAGCAAATTCGGCATACAAGAGTACTCCTCATATGTTACGAGAATCATAGAAGGGTTGAGTCTCATGTTGTGCTTGCGGAGTTCGCCGAAGATTTCGGCTAAGTCTGTTATGTGTTCGGCAGGAGAATTGGACTTGACCACTATGTCGTCCATGTAAATCTCGATGTTTCGGCTGATTTGCTCTCGGAACACTCTGTCCATTAACCTCTGATAGGTCGCTCCGACGTTCTTAAGTCCGAATGGCATAACTCGGTAACAAAAGTTGGCGTTTTCAGTGATGAACGTCGTTTTCTCCTCGTCAGATGGGTGCATCCTTATCTGGTTGTAGCCGGAATAGGCGTCGAGGAAGCTGAAGATAGAGTGCCCGGATGCTCCGTCGACGAGTCGGCATACAAGAGTACTCCTCATATGTTACGAGAATCATAGAAAAGAAATACCTTGGCATTGTTTATCTTCTGTAGCTTTCTCTAATATACAGTTGTTTGTAATTTTTGCTTCCTAACGTTGTGTCTACATATTTTTTCCAGACTTTTCGATTCTCACATGTTCCTAGGTTGTGGCTTTTTGTTTTCAAAAAATGTCTATAAATTAATAAAAACACATGGTCAATTTAGATTTAAAAATTACCCTTAATTGATTTGCATACTATTCTTTCTAAAGAGAAAAAAAAATGTTGTCCACCAAACATTTTTAATTTGATAAAATAAACTTGTAACCTGAAAGTTAGCTTATTTAACAAATTAAAAACACTTAATTTATTATCGGTGATAACAACTCATTATTAGCCAATTTTGTTATCACATCACATTAAAAAATCAATTGTAATGACCAAGATAAATACTTTCAATATATGATTACATATATTAAAAAAGCGTTAAATGGCTGGTCTAATTGCCAGTTATGGTGAATCGGAAGTTCCATGAGAGCGATAGGGTCTCTAAACTGCCCGGCTACACAGATATTTAGCACCTTCGCAGGTAAAAGAGAGCAAACAGAAAAATGATTCGGTGCTCAACTTTATTACTGGATGTTATTGTCATAAATGGTACATTATCTTCTAAGTGCAAACCCAAATGAAAAATTGAAAGTACGCACATCATACCAGAATTCCTACAGCTGTTGCCCCGGGGAAGGATTTATGATGGGCAACGAATCGACAATAAAAGGAGTATGACTAAACCAAAATTGGGATCCAGCAGCAGAGTTGATAGCGTAGAGCGACGCAACTTGAAAAAATATTATAATCATCTCCTAAAATGTCCTTATTTCATACATTTTGGGGGTGTAAGAAATTGTGAGAAAAATAAAAGATTTAAAAAAAATAAGGGACGTTACCACTGGCCCCAAAAATTGTAAAAGGTACCTCTTCCAACTCCATCTGACAGGATCAAATGTTGTACCTCAACCATGTAAACCAGGCAAAACTGCAAGAGGTTACAATGGTATATTGATGTGTTAATAATAATCCTTTACATCCTGTGGCTGCCCTGAGGGATCTGTAATTCTTCATAATCACCGACCCAAACCTGCTTAATATTTTGAATTAGCCCTTGGATCAACAAGATACGAGAGGTTTACAACAATTTTGAATCATAAAAAGCAACTGGTAATACCTTGTATTGATTGCCAGCATAAACGTACTCTACATACAACTCTTTAGGTCTTCCTGGACATGGATCACAGAAACCCATAATGCCTGATTTTTTTACACCTTCATGAAGCTGCATTAACAAATAGGACATTCATTATCTACTAATAAAAAACATACAATCTCAACAAGTAAACCACGTATCGATTTGATCATCTATCTTTCTCTTAATTCTCTGTCTTGAATTTGATCTTTAAGGACCCCTATCATCCTTGGCCCCAGAATCTTTCATGTAAAACTCAAGGTCAAGAAATTTGGTTTCAATCCGATAAACAGAAAAATATCACCCTATCGATTTGTTTGCATTCTATCTTATTCCCGTATTTACCACAATTTTTCGTTCATCTGGCTAAGTAGGCAGATACAAAAACTTGTTGACGTCTAAGCTAAGTTGCTAACTAGAATACTTTTGTGAGAACATGCATTGTGAAAAGAAAGGAAGCATACCTTAAGTTGGCCAGAATCATTAACTAGAAAATTCAGAGGTATGGTAACATCAATGACTTCTGAAGTTGATTCGGAACTTGTTTCACTTGATGACTTCAAATTGTTCAAAATTATCTTATTTCCATATAGTGCTCTCATAATAACCAGTCCACGTGACTCTAATTGTTTGTTTCTTTTCCTAGTAGCCACATTTTGTTGTAATTTCTGAGCTTTCTCTGCAGCAGCCCTTGCTTCCTTAACCTGCAGAAATATTTTCCCAAGGGGAGGAGAGAGAGATTAACCAGGATATTCAACGGACTTCAAATAATTAGAACTATGGATATGTCCACCTCCCAAGACAATCTCATTAAGAGTTGGAACTATATCAAGTATGGGCATTCATACCAGAGGAAATGAGGGAGATTCTGTCATGAAACAAACTGATTGCGTATCTAATCTTTGAAAATCACTACTGAGAACTACAAGGAGGCACTTGGTGAATTAGAATCCTAATTCTCCAGATATTTAGGACTAGTGCGGGATATTTGGGTAATGAACTGTGATATATATGGAATTCATATATGACAAATGAAAACTACAAAAATTTTCCAAAATCTCAAAAATTCATTAAACTTGTAATTAATGGTGAATTAATTGTTATTCAACTATAAACATCGCATTTGGAGCATACTTGGATATTTTACACAGCCATGAAGTTGGACCCCAGTATTATGGCAAGCACGGGACAATAAAGAAATGCAGGATTTCTAACATCTTACGTTCAAACTACAAGGGTATCTTGCACCAATGTCAAATGGACAACATGCCAAACACTCCTAAAAGTAGATAACTGATGCGCTCACAAAGGAGTAACTTGACGATAATTGTAACCAACTATGAATCCACATAACAATCAAATTGATAATATCATAAGGAATTCTCCACGCATTCAAAATGAATGGTTAAACAAAACAATCTTCAGGCATCACAATGGACGGTATCAAAGCAGATCTTCAATTGTTAAAAGAGAACATATGAGCATACCTATCACACGGTGAATAAATTATAAGATGTTTTACATGAGGAGGGTAACAGTTGCAAACAAGAAACAACATCAATACACAGGACAGGAATAATAGAAGTCAATGCCACTGCTTTAGGCACATTAATCACCCTTACCTGAGCAGAAGTTTTCTCCTCCTCCTCCCGAGCCTTCTGCTTATTCCTTCTAAGAAAATAAGGTTTAAAAAAAAGTTTCTGCAAACACCACAAATTTTACGATAAATGATGAGAGAATTTCGCCAAACTGTTCAATAAACCAAACAAACACCTGTCACATTTAGCTGAATTATAAATAATTATCTTATCTGCTTCCCATAGTTTCTCTGCCTCTGGAATATTTTTGGTAATAAAAACTGATACATGGAGATCAAAGTCTAGTAACTAATGCTACAGCTTACATTTACATCAATGAATTTACAAGTGAAAAGTTTCAGAATTAATTTATTTATTTTCAATAAATTTTATCCTGCTTATCCACATGCTCTGCAAGTTGAGCACAAGACAACGTCCAAATCAGAAGAAAATTATACAGAAAAACATCATTGAAAGAAAGAGACAGCTTTAAAGATCTTTCTTGTCCCTGCATAGAAGTTTTTTATGAAAGGTGAGTAGCAGAAAATAAAAAAAAGTTGACAACCATGAGAACTAGAAAAGGGGATTCAAGGAAAAAGTATTCGTGCACACTACAACTAATTTATATTCTTCGACGAAGCTAGTTGTGCACATTATTTTGTGTCGTTTGTTTAAACTTAAAAAAAGTATTTTTAAATAAGTGCTTTTTAAAAATGCAATTCTTTAAGAAGCAGGTAAGAGTTGCTTTTTAAAAAAACAGAAAACTGCTTATTTTAAAGAAAATAAGTTTAGACAACCCCAGTAAAATAAAATAAAATAAAAAAGTGCTTATTTTATTAAAAAAAACTCTTTTTAAAGGAGAAAAAATTTAAACAATCAGACTCTTTATTCCCCCACTCACACCCCAGGTCACACTCTTTAGCACAAGGGGAAACTGAGGAATCCAAATGAGCTAGCATCATTCCGATTCAGAGGAAACTAAAATACCACAACAAAATATTTTCCACTTAATTGGATACGAACAATAAACTGACTGCACACATTTATAGTTATAGGTCTTCAGTCTTTAAAAAAATTAACTGGCGAGAGAGTTCTCAGATAAAAAGAAACAAGTTATTGACATGAAGTTGATTTTATTTCACCTTTAGAGTGAAGTAAAGAGATGCAGGAACAACAAATGCTCCAGTAGCAAACACCGGGTTCAGATGCCTTGTCAGCAAAATCTGCAAGAAAAAGCTCATTTATGTTACAAAAGTCAAGCAAACTAGTTTAAATGGAAATATTACTTGTTTATAATAATATTACGTTATCTAAGTAGTTGCTTAGCAAATACATGCAATCCCAAGTTAATTAGAATACCAAATATCATATAGGCATCCAAATTCTAAAGCAAGAGTAGGGATCAAAGCCAACTAATAGAAACATCATATATGTGTGTGTGGATACATACATATACACACACTTAAGACTTTTCAACAAAATAAACTCATGTCAATATTAATAAAAGGGGTTGTATATAGTGCTCATAGGCACATAGTGTGAATGCCTTGTGTGCATGTTTGATTCAGTTCATTTTAGAAAATAATTGCATATTTTTGTCAGCTTTTCTGAGAGAACTTGTGAAAAATAAGTGATTATTTCTCCAAAACCATCTTATGAAATATTGTGCATGTTTATTGCTTAGCAAGTATAAGAAGGCATTCTTCTACATACACAGATCATCCGTGCATCTTCACAATGGCGAACATAAACGAACTGTCTTACATAGTATATCTGAATAAAGGTCAAAGCCCGAAATTTTATCTAGTATTTATCAGGCTAAGCATGTAAAGAAACAAGAATATACTTACAGGAATAATTAACTTCTGACCCCCACGATAGAGTTCAAATTTCCAGGAAATACCCTGAAAATGTTAAAAAAGAATGTGAGCCAGCTTATACAACAAATATTGAACAAGCAGGGAAAATAACCAAAAAAAAACAAAAAACAAAAACCTAGCATTGAACTTCAGATTGATGGCTAATTACAAGGAAAATTTTGAAGGGAAGGGAGGATTACACAATGGAATCTTCAAAAACAGTTCTACTCATTGGTGAAACTGTAAAGCAAGGACCCATTTGCCATTGATATGGCAAAATAAAATGGAAAGGGCCTCAAGCAGTGACTGGATTGGAGTAATTTGAGAAGAGAAGTAAAATTTTAGACTGTTTCAAATATTTTATCAAAAAATAAATGTTTTTATAATTGGTCAAAGAATTTTAAATTGTCTTTTGACAGGGTATTTTGATTATCCAAAGTAAGGAAATTAAGAAGAGTTATATTTCATGCTTGAGATAAAAAGTTAAGCTTTCTCCACCTCCATAGCTTTTTCGACCTCGTTACTTCTCTTATCTAAAACCTACTATAGGTAACCAGATATCACCTTTAACACTTTATTTTGTTTATTTTCACCTGAATCTTACTTTTGATATTTTTTCAAATCTCTCCATCTTCATATACCCAAAACTTTTAGGTTTTAATTTGGCAGCAGCCACAATCAAGTTGTAAAATGCAATTCTTGTGTGATGCAAGGTTGGCTTGTTGTTGCACCTCTTGTTAATTAATATACACCGCATATACTCAATCTTACTTCTACAGAAGTGAAAGTCATGAGCTTCCCAAGTTTGTCTCCACATTTATAATTTTCCTTTTATTTTCTCTCTTGACTGTCCAACTAGAACTATACCATCCGTAAAAAGAATTCATTATAGCATTGGCTCTTGGATATGCTTAGTAAGTATGTTAAACACTAATGTGAAGAATTAACTTAAAGGTCCAAAAGCCAACCCTTAGTGCAATTCCATGTTTATAAGAAAAAATTGTTGTGGCCCCATGTGTTCCCACCCTCCCTTAATTGCCCAAATATATGCAATACAAACTCCGTTCTGATCTAGGACCGTATAGAATACCTTTATTGGCACATTATCATACTCCTTTTCCATGTGAGTGAAAATCGTAGGCAAGTCTCTTTTTAGTCCTCAAATATCTTTCCATTAAACATCATAGCAAGTATATTGTTTCCATGCCCAACCTTGGGCATAAAACCAACAATGTTGCAAGTAGTTTCATTCCTCTAATATCTCTCCATTTTTATTGAATATTTAGTTTCTCTAGCCTCAAATCCTTAGAGGGTTAAACTTGTTTGACTTGATTCCTTTGTTGGAATTGACAATTTGACATGTGATTTTTCTGTTTTGTTATGAAGCTTGAAGTTTTAATCATCGATTATGACTATTTTTTTATTTTAGGATTTCATTTATTTATTTTTCAGCATAAATATCATATTATATATACTGTGTGGTATAAATCAACTTTGGGATCAAAATACTTGTCATCTCACTATCCACTATCCCGTTTTGGGGGATTGCCCAATGCCTCGACTGACTTCTACAATAAGATCATTCATGTACTTGCACCTAAAAGTTTAAAGACTTGGTATAGTTGATTTATGACGGTATTATTGCCTAAATGGTTGAAAGTCAATCCTTGTCATTTCTATTCTTCTAAAGAGAAAGAAAAAACTTGAAAGTAAGCACAAGTAGAGCAGTGTCCACACTTCAAACCTAGAAGGATGTTGCAGGAGGGTGTGTTAAAGATATATATGTTGTATAAATATAAAATTTCTCATTTACCTAACAGTGCAATATTTTGGGATAAGAGGTTCATGTCAAGTAGCAAATTGATTTCATATAGTAAAAGTTAATAGAAGCTTTCATCCTACGCCTAATATATACAGATGAATAATAACAAGATATCATTAACTAACAAATACGATATAAAGATGAATAGCAATATGATATCATTAACTAAATTACCTGAATTCCTATTATATACAACCAGCGCACTGAGCTGAATTTGGATAACTTCCTCCCACCACCAACTTCAATCTCAAGGGAAGAACTGCAAGAACAAATGGCTTAATGTCAAAACAGACAGCACACAAACAAATTCAAACATTGACCATAAATAGGCATATAGCTGATAATTATGCTAGTGGTCATTCAGAATAATCATTAGCAGTCATAAAACATTTTAGGTACAGTTATAATTAATTAACATTACAAGAGATTCTACTTGCCATTTAATACATACAATAGGTATATTAATTCAATTTTTACATGAAGTAATTTGGAATCAATAGTAAAAATGCCCTTGCTTCAAAAAATCCAACAGTAACAGCTCTACACTTGGTCCTAACCTTTTTACCCTTACAATTCAATTCTAATTGTGATAAAAAATAAAAAATAAATAAATAAATAAATAAATAAAAACTCTTCTTTGAGCATAAATGTGGAATGCTATTGCCTGACAAGAAAATAGATCCCCCCAACACAGAAAACAATAAAAGAGATGCTATTTCTATGCGGCTGAGCAACTTCATAGATTATCCAGTGCTAAAAGGAACTAAAACAAGCATCTATTCAGAAATCAGAACTAATTCCCCAGTCAAGAATTTAGCAGAACTCAATTCTCATTTAGCAGTGGCATACAAAAATGAGTCCACAAGCAAACTCTACAATTATTAGTTCCATCTGACATGTAACTGAACTAATACTTTTTTGTCTTCCAATCAGTAAAATTTATACTCAAGCATGGAAGGATATGATATAGAAGGAATAAGTCTGCACACACCCAAACAAACAGAGAAAAGGAATGTTAGTTTCATATGATACAAGGAAGTTGTATTTTTAATTTGATATATAAGCTATGAAGCTAAAATAAATTCTCAAATAATTCATAGTGAGGCAATAATTCATTTTTATGATGAGACATTCATTAAGACAGTGAAGAAACAAACAATGGATACAATTATGCAAAGAGTTGGGTTTTGAGTTAAGATTTGAACCTATAAATGTATATGTAATCAAATCAAATATTCACATGAGATAAATCTACAGAAACCTTTGTCAAAAATATCATATGACATAGTGAGCATTTTAGAATCTAAAAACAAAACCAGAGGCTGGAAAATGAGAATCCAACTAAATTTACATCTAAAAAGATTCTTTATACCTCCCAACTCTTCCCACAATGCAGCCAAGAGATTTAGTAGAAAAACGATGGGTATAATGAACTGCTGTCTCAAAAGAACCTGTGCCAAACTAAAGGAGTTGAGAAAGAGTTAATTCAGTATAGGAAAAGATGATTTTTTGTTGTCCTAAATAATTTGCAATATATCTAAGACACTATTTTAAAGACAGAAGCACAAGATCGGTCAGAAAAAATCCTAATTTTTTTTGGGTTCAGAAAGATGAATTAATGAATTATACAGGAAAAAAAATATTTTTGAAGGTAATAAAATTATCAGCTCAGACTTTATTATGCATAAAACATAGAAGTACCTTTAATTCTCCAGAGGCAGACCTTATCTCATCTTTCTTTTGCCACCCAACAGCTATAGAAGATTGTGGACCCAAAGTAAGCTCTATCTGTAACACAGATGATAAGGGAGAGATCAGGGATAGAAGATTTTCCAGAAACTGTTTCATAAATCTCAAGTCAATAAATAGCCCAATTCACAAATTCAATGCTGTAAAATGGTCCCGTAGATTGCCCGTGTGATTTGGTTAATTATGGTTAAATTCTAAATGTCTAAAAGTACCAAATACACAGCTTCTTGATGAATCTCTTCTACAGGTTCAAACAATGTCATATGTCCCCACCAATAACAGACTGATTATTCCTTTGTTCCCTTGGGTTTTACAAAATTAAATGATGATAGATTAGTTGCTCATACAATATAGATCTTGCTTTTCCAAAAGAATGTAAGACACAGTAGTAGATTATCTTGATATCAACAAATCTAACAGCTCGTTAAAAGTGATTGATTTCAAAGTTAACATGACATAAATCTTATTTTAATAGTTGACTAGCTGATCCATATATGTCCACAACAGGTTCTGTACAACTATTCATCTGCACTAGTTATCATGTCATTGAAGAGAAAGAAAAGTCAGGTAGAGAATACAGAGTAGCATACATGTCCACTTGCAGTTTCTGACAATTGGCGGGTCCATAAATTTGAAAGATTCAATGAACCATCTCTCAAAGACATTGCTATTCCCATTGTTGCAGCCGAGTGTGACGATAGATTGCTGAAATATAAAGTACAAGAAACATAAAAAGGATCACTTAATCAACTAAAAGTCTAAAAAAAACACTGTTCAATTTGATTTACAAAATGCAAATTACCAACCGAGTTGTTTGCACCCCAATTAGTGCACGCAAACCAGCTGAAGCCACAAACTCTACTGTCGAAACTTCTGAAAGTTCATGCCTAAACACAGCCGTAGCAGCTCCACCACCTTCACTTCCGTTCACCGCTAAATTGCCACCAATCGTTACAGCATTACGCTTTGATAACTGAGACTGGATTTCACTAGTCATAGCCATTCTGATACTCATTGATAAAAAAAGACGCAAATAGTCAGACAAAAAAACGACAAAGAAGAGTAGCTAAACACATAAATTGCAACGAGCAACCAATATTTGATTATTTCACTATCAGGAACCCATTTGTATGAGAAGTTAAGAAATTACAACGCAATACCCTCCAGTATATTCTCGTTTCTATCCACCATTGCTTACATTAACATTGAACCTCAACATCATTAAAGCCACTTCTACAACAAGGTATTCAGTTTTAGCAATATATATTATTATAAGATAAAATAAGCATTTCATTTTCCAAACTGAGCAGTTAACTCTAAAGTTGCTCAACAACCACATTCACTCATATTGATATAAAAGAAACAAGGGAAAGCCATGATGAACCGAGCAATACCCTCTCATGAGGCCATCACCGTCTAAACAGTGTGGCAAAGACATCTTGGCCAGAATTGTACCAGAGGATCGAAAATGCGCCGCTACTTTTTCCTGTTCCTTCATCCTCTTCAGTCTCTCGAGCTCCCTCTTGATCTCTTCAGCTCCATCCAGCTTCGGACCAAGTTCCAAACCAGAGGTCAACCCTTCCATGCCGTAGATATCATATATTTGCCTCTTATTTGGATCCGAAAGAATCTCATAAGCTTCACATATTCGCTGAAAGTTCTCCGTAGCAATATCCTTCATCTGGTAGAAGAAAACAAAACGAATGAAGAAATTGCAAACATAAAGGAATTAGCACAGACAGAGGCAGAGAAAGAGGCATACGTGAGGAGCTTGGTATTTATCGGGGTGATAGGCTTGTGCCCATTGACGATACGCTCTGCGAATTTCTTCATCGGAAGCTTCTGGAGACAGGTTCAGGAGCGCGTAGAGTTCTCTGTTGTCTTGCGCTTCGTTCGGTTCCTCCATTGGGGTGAGGGGTTAGGGTTTTGCAGATAACGAATCGGAACGGAAAGGGTTTAAGGGGTTTTCGCTTACGTCACCGATGGTCCAAATTAACACATCAATCGCTAACTGTGGAATGATTAGTCTTTGCGAGTCACGCCACAAATCTCCGCATTCCAACCCTTTTTTTTTTACGCTCTTTCGTGCCCAACGTCCACGTGTTGGAAAAGAAAATGAGTGGAAAATAAAAGGAAAGAAAGAAGAGGTCAAGAACTCTTGCCCCTGCTTCTACTTCTACTTCTAGCGTGCGGCGTAGGAAAGGCTCACGGGAAGAATTGGAAATGGTCCACAATTGAAGAGGAAGTGTTGAGCCTGCATTTTTCTGTGTTGGGTTTTAAAATTTAGTAGATCGTTAATGATGCCTCCAAGTCCCATGGTGGCTTGGGACGTTCAACCCAACGCTTCTTTTTTTTTTTTTATAAGATGAGAACTGTGGGGTGGTGAGCCCATTACTAGTTGCAACAAACAAACAAAAAAAAATACTAAGGAGTGTTTAAGTAAAATATGTGTAGTTTGTTTTTCTAATTTTAAATGTGGGAAGCACTTGTAGTATCACACATCAACAACATTCATTTATATGCATTACCTCAAGTAAATGTATATATAAGTATCAATAAAAATCAATTTATAGCATATCAATGCATCTCAACAATCCACTCATATCACTACTAGAATTTATCTTATTACATGCGACTTTTCCTGCGAATTTTTCATAAAAATTCGCAAGAAACATCGTTCTTGCAAATTTTCCTGCGAAATTTTATCTGCAGGTAATACATTCGGGAATAATATTTTTTTGTGAATTTTAAAATTCGCAGAAAATTTTTCTGCGAAAAAAATTCACAAGAAACTTTTCTGCAAAAAAAAATTTACAGGAAAGTTTCCTGTAAAAAAAAATTCGCAGGAAAGTTTCCTACGAATATTTTCAAATGCTCACAATGAATTCATCCGAAACATTTGTTTCCATGTCTCCAACATGTGATACATAATATTTTAAATTCTAAGATTGTAGATTATAAGTCTAACACTCAACCATATAAATCAACTTGTAAGGTAAGTGTTGCCCCAACTTATATTCTCTTTAATTGCTTTATTTTCAATCGATGTGGGACTTGAAGTTCTTTTAAAATATTAAACTTATAAATTTAAATATTTGTTTTATTTTTCCTGCGGATTAAAATTTGCAAAAAAAATCCACAGGAAAAGTTACCTGCAAAATTTTTCTACCATTTAGTAAATATTACTTGCGAATTTATTTTTGCAATAAAATCTGCAAGAAACAAATTAAAATTCTTACAATATTTTCTGCAAATTTTTATCATGAAAAAAAAAATTCTATGATTATTAAAATTGTAACAAAATTTGTAAAAAATATCTGTAAATTATTTTTCGCAAATAAATTCGCAAAAAATTTCTATTAATATTTTTTTGCAAGAAAATTCGCAAAAAAATTCTGCAAATATTTTTTTTGCAGGAAAATTTGCAAGAAAATGACACTTTTCTATTAGTGTATAATTATCATATATGTTATCTATGGTCAACATACATAGGACAAGTATCACCAATCAATATACAATATGCAATAAATTTACTTAACTTATTTACGTTCACCATTTAATTCATTTAACAACAAGATATCATCAAGTAACTCACGTCTGGTGCTACACACCCAACGTTTGACATCATTGAGGTAGAGAGCTCTCTACATGTCCACGTTTAACATCATACAACCCGCACCCAACATGGATTAGGTGGAGAGACCTCCTTAACCCTCGTGTCTCGCGTGGCAAGGTCCCACACTCGACCTTAAACCAAAAATGAAATGATTCTCTCTCCTCACGTCTAGCACTACTCCTTTGATGTTCGACGTGAAATCTAGATAGAGTCAATTTTCTGACCTCATATCGGTGTCATTCAAATCACATATGACGTTAGTTCAACTCGAGGTAATTCTTTCTTGTCATACTTGACACCATCAATCTTACGCTCGATGTGAGTAATATAGAGTTCCCTTTTATTGAACTGTGCTCAACGCCATGAAGGCGTGCCCAACATGATTATGAGTTCTACACTTAGCAAACCACAAATTTAACTTAAGTCACCTGAAAATCAACAAATTTCAAGTATGCAAACCAATATATCGCATATATTCGTCATCAACAACTCATAACCATACTCAAATTCAAAATGCAACACCATTTTACCAAAATCATCAAAAAATTCACTTGACATGTACTTCACACGCAAGCAACTTAATTTCATTCATTCAATCACAAAATAAACAACACAATTCAATTACAGGTGAACAACAACCAATTTTCAACTTCATTCGATCAACAAAAACACATTTTAGTTTCCCTTACCTCCAAAATGTCCAAATTTGAGAAGAGTAAGAAGGAAGAAAAATATGGTTTCTTAGCCCATTGAAAAATTCCGCACGACTCAACTTACTCGGTTCGTGATTTTTATAGACCTGAATCAACAAAAACACAACCAAATCAATGATTTTAAGGGAATAATCACCCTTACAGGAGAAAATTTAAAGAAGAAGAAAACCCACAAACTTCAAAGGCTTCTCTCTAATTTATCTCACTAAGTATATGAAAAACTAAACTTATAAGATTCAATTGTTAACATAAATCTTAAATACTTCTCTCCTTATGTTAATGTATACCTCTAGTCAGATAAACTCTTAAAACTACCTAAATCCATAAGAATTCCTTAATTATTAGGATCTCTCAATAATATGCACCTAAATCAACACACACTAAATAATCATTGATAAAAATACAATAATTAAGACAAAGATACATTGTTATAAATGTAGTACTATATTTATCTTTATGGGATTGAATATAAGAGAAAAATATTATAATACATGCATTTCTCATAAGAGGAAAAATTATTTTACTTTAAAAGAGTTAAATGATATATTTAATATAAGAGAAGAGAGTAATATAATATTCACATTTTTCAAAATCTAATTTAGTTTAAAAATAAATAAATAATGTTAAATTAAAATAATAATGAGGGAATTGTTTTAGAGAAATATGAAATAGGAGTTTCCTCCACCTTCCATGAACACTTGGCACGATGTCACTAGTGACAACAGAATTATTATATGATGTCCAAAAAAAAAACTATACGCATTCTAAACATTATAACAAGATTGTTGTATAAATAAATTTAAATTAAGAAAATAATAATGTGGTTTTTTATTTTTAGGAAAATGAAAGAGTTTCCTCCACTACCACTTGGCACGATGTTACTCGTAACAACAAAACGTCAAAATAAATCCGTCTATACCATCGAGGAAAGTTCGAGGAAATTTCTGCAACGGTCCCACTCCCTTCACAGATATTCCACCAACACCTTTATACGCCAATGTGTTTGGATCACGTACATAATGACTTCACTCTTGTTTATGTAGCATTTTTAAATTGCAAAACCGGTTAAAATCAAATTTTCTCTTTTCATTCCATTCTAGTTTTTAAAACATTTTTCATGCCTCGTGTTACTTCATATTATATATTACAAGTGATTCAGTATTTTTGTTTTTTAATTTAGAATCGAGACCCAATATCTGATTTGAGCATAAATTTACAATAAAAAATACCACCATTTTTTTTTATAGAGTTGACCTCCAATGAGGAAGATACTTTATTAAAAAAATGAAACATAATATCACATTAAAAAGAATAAAAACTATTCCTCGTGTTATTTTTTATTTCCTGGTGTTATTTCAACTACCCGAAACTTTTTTCTTTTTGTGTGAATTATAGGATAATTTTATTGTTAAGTAAAATAATACAAGCTCAAGCAGAAAATTATAACAGTTAATAATTTTTAATTTACAAATCATACACCATAGGGCCTTTGAATTCAATAATTGTCCCTACCAAAATTAATAAGTCCACTGGAGCCAGCAAATTTTATGCATAGCAATATTAATTGATGTCAAATGTTTTCTCGTGAATTAAATATTTAAACACATATATAAAAAAATTAAAATAATTATCAGAATGAATGCTTAGTTTTGGATAAATAAAGTTTTGTGACAGTAAAAAATAATATATTTCAAATACACTATCGATGAAAAAAAACAGTAATATGTTATTTAATAAGTTTGATGTCAAATATCAACACATCCAAAGATCATTAAATGAGTTGTTAATGTAAAAGTAACAATATAATAACTATTTACAAATGTATATATAAGTGTGCAAGTCTCTAGTATATATTAGTTATATTCTTGAGTAAATGAACTTCCTCCTCATACTACATTTATATATTCTTGAGTAATTTATATATTTTTATATTCTTGAATCGAAATGCAAAATTGTATGATCGTAACTTAGTTGGCAGATAAGTTGGATTGTCATGATCTTAAAGTGAAATGTGTAGACAGAAATTTTGATTTTATTGTATCCCTTTCCCTGTTGATTGATCCGTGCAGCATTTCTTTGAGTTTTCTCACTCTCTCTCTCTCTCTCTCTCTGTACATGCCATCTATCTACATTTGTTTGAAGGTAGTGAGTGAAAATGGGGTTGCACGTGGTGCCCGTGACTTTGGCGAAGGTGGCGAGGCAGAGTTTGGGCCCTGTGGTGGCTTGGACCGTTTGTCCTCTAGCGCTGAAGCTCTTGCTAAGTCTAAGGTTGTTCCGACAAGAAGCCGTTTACTCAACCAGGTTGTTCTTCTTCCGATTCGGTCGGATTTTCTTCAACAGGGAAATACCATTTGCCAATGGCACAAGGTTCGAGCGAGCCTTCAGATTAATGTTCCAAACCCTTACCACTACAACTACAACACAAGAAGAACAACTCAACGACCAAACCTTTAATACCATCTTAACGCTCACACTTTAGTCGCTTTCTTTCAACCCTTTGCTACATTTTATTTGTTGGTAAGTTTATGCTATGGATCTTCATTTACTTACTTTCACACTGCACTGATTCTTGTTTAATTTCCTTTTCTTTATGTACATGCTACGTACGTACGCACAGGCCGGCTTTGGCAAATTAATGAGGATTGCGGAAATAAATGCCGTACAATTATGCGTTTTAATTATTATTATGCCGTTTAGCAAATAATAGCAGTCCTACTCCTGTTCTGACCCAGAAAGGAGGAGAAATTAAAGAGCAGGTGTGTGACCTTGCAGGGAATTCAATTTCAGCGATGCCTTCACTGGATCTTTTCGGACTGGGATGCACTCTTGCCGATTTAAAAACAAGGCACTTTAATTATGCGGTCCAATTTTACATCATGTTCGTTCATATCATGAACATGGCATCTGCACTTTTTATCTAATTTTGTTAATGAAAGCTTATGTCAGTCAGGTTTTGGGAGTTAATTAGGACAATTTATGTAATTTGGTACTCAAAGTTGCGTGGTTTCTTGATTTTTATCGGTTATAAGTATATCTTCTCTTGCTTAGAAGAATACCCGGAACAAGATATTATCTTGCATAAAATTATGTCTTTCTTATTAAGCATGTTTTTCTTCTACCATTAATAATAGTTTGGAGCTTGTTATTTTTTAATATGGAAATCTTTCGTTCCACATGATCTGGTTGAAGTATCTTGAGTGAATAGCGCACCATAATTAAAGTATCGATGAATTTTTTTTTTTTTTTAAAGACAATGAATTATTTTGTGTTTCTAACGCAAGTTTCTTTAAGCTCCTTTTGTTAATTTAATTATTTATTTATTGCATTTTGATAAATAACATCTCATATGTTTCTTAGTGCTTTCATTTCAACCGTTACAATCAAAATATGATATTAAGGAAGAAAGAGTTTATAAATGCATAAATATTTTCATTGGTATAAGTTATTTTGATAATGACTAAAAACACATTTATTAGATCTTCTAATAACATCAATATGTCACATAACATGTATTATTGTTATCTTTTTTTTTTTTGTAATTATATTATTGATACAAAATATATGTCATTGAAAATAGTGACTAATTTTTATTAGGAATGATCATTAACACTTATAAAATGAGTATTTTCCTTTCAATATAATCTATTGTCATAAGTTAATGATTGCAACAGTGATACAAATATCTAGAATATATCAGTGATAGTGATTATAGTCTACAAACAACCATTAATAAATCATAATTTTTTGTTTGAGAATGAATTGTTTAAGATATAAATAAAGTTTCACATCATTAAAATGAGGAAAAACAAATTTATAATCATAAAAATGTCTTTATTAATACAAGACTTTTTGGATAAGGATCAAAAATAAATTCATAAGTTAATCTTGATAACACATAAGTTAGACAACACATCTCATTGTCATGAGCTAAGGATGGATTAATGAGTATCTAGATCATGTTTATTTATGTTTTATAAGTCAATATTGAATATTCGTATACTAAAATGATAACAATTGTTTATTAAGAAAAATTGACATTTTTTTAGAGTTGTTTAATGGTTTACTTAAGAGCATCTGCGGTGCGGGTTGTTTATAAGCAATCTCTGTGCCACATCATGCCACATCAGCTCTTTTCAGTGTTTATGAGTTGCTTAAATTTTAGTAAAGTTGCTTGTAGAAGCTCCCATGCTTAAAAAAAAGTGAAAAATAGCTGATGTGACACAGGAGATTGCTTATAAGTAACCCCTATTACAGATGCTCTAAGTCTCCACTTACATGATAGGTCAATGTATATAAAGTAAAATAAACTTCTTATAAGATACTTATTTTTTAGACCAACCAAAATTAGCCAATATTTTAGTTTTTATTTGAAAATTATAAAAATAAGAAAAATGATATTTACACCTATTTTATTAATAAATACACATGTATTTACTTTTTAAAATAAAATTTCTTAATGCCCCTCATCAAATTTCTTTCCCCTCATTCAAAATTTTCATGAAATATTCTTCCTTGTTCGCCCTGTTCTTCCTTTGTCACTCTCTTTCTAATTCTCTAGTAACTATATATGTTGTGGTTTATTTACTATAACTTTTACATCAATGATACTTTAGTGATTTATTTAATACAACTTTTACAAAATAGGAATAGACATAGCCACATTAAAAAGGAGGAAAAAAGTGTACCTATTCTTTAAGAAGTCTTGTTCCTTTTTCAAGTTACAAATGTTCATGGGATTATGCATGTTATCAAAAATTACTCTTTGCAGTAAAATTAACATCCGAAATGTACTTTTGAGGACAAACATATTAATCTAATAAATATTTTATAGAACAGTACATATTTATTCAGAAAAGGTAATTTCCGAAAGAGTAATTGTGAAGAAATCGAGAAACAGAAAATTAATTGAGAAAAGATGAATTAAATGAAAGAGTATTTCATTAATTTTATATACAAAAAAAAAGATGAAATATTTATCTAATAAAAAGAAAATATAATTAACAAAAGAAAAATAAAATAGTAGTTAGCAAATATGTCCAGTAAATTTTAAGCTGCATTTTATGAGTCCAGTCTAACCTATAAAATTAAACTAAATTATTTGGCCTAGTTCTTTCGGATTTCAATTTTAAAAATCCTATCTGGTACAACCTACTGGATTATTGGGATGGATCAGACCATTTTTCACAACAATTATTTATGAATATACCCACCAAATAAAGAAAAAGTAGAATGTTACCAATTTTATTGTCAGGAGTCTCAAGACACCTTAACTTACCCGTCAATGGTACGATATAATAGGGAAATCTAATTAGTCTTTTTCCGTCTCTGGTTAGATTACCTAACACTCACTAGTCACCACATTTTTCGCATAAGACTGGACGTTGCCCTCGTGGTTTTCATATGAATTTGTTTAGGGTTTTCCCCCCAACATTTGTGCTTGTAATATAGGAGATAAAATGTGAGATATTAAACAAAGAGGAAAAAAAAATTGTGTGTTAAGCTTCTCTTTAAAATATTATTAGCTTTTATTTTTTTAAAGAGGGGAGGTCAAGTTAAAAAATTAAAATCATTCAAAAGGTAAAAACTGATACTTTTTAAAGTTAAATATACCGTACGGTGACTGACTAGGCCGAATACCCGAGTTCGTGGCCGACTAGGCCGAATACCCGAGTTCGTAGACGACCAGGTCGAATACCCGAGCCCACCGACCACTCACAATCTGAACGGAACGTGTCGGTGTGCTCGGCCAAGTCACGGATTTACGCCAGGATAATTATGGAGAGGTTAATTTATGTAATGCACCGGATTAGCCCCCTAATTTCCCGGGGCTCAGTCCTTAATTACGGCCCAATAATAATCACTATAAATAGGACCCCAACGAGGTATGTAACTAACTTTTCAACTACCGCATTTAATACGCCGAGCACTTACTTGAGCGTTGGAGTGTCTTTGCAGGCACCCCCCTCATTTTGGACTACTGGGAGAAGGAGGAGAAGACCTGGCCCGCGGACCCGCCCCGCTACAACAAGGATAATTGGAGTGTGTATCCTAACACAGGAACATTAAACATTCTATGAAAATTATTATATACATCATGATCTTTACTAATATATATAAACCTCTCTTATGAAGCAAAAGTAATCTTTGCTGAAAGTTGTTACTTGAACAGGAAAAAAAAATATACCAGTCATATATGTTGATAAAATAAATATTTTAAAATTAAATATGTAAATATTCTTAAATAAATTTATGTCATTTTATTTTATATACTAACTAAAAGGAAACAAAGTCAAACCATATTAAAAATATTACAGTATGACTGATGTTTATTTTATTCTGTGGTAATTGGATATTTGTGGTAATAATACCAATTTTATTTCATTTATGTTCCTGTGTTAGGAAACACACTTCAATTATCTTCGTAGCAGCGGGTCTGGTCTTAGGTCTCGGTCTTCTCGTTCCAATCCGGGTAGTCCGAAGTGAGGGGAGGGCGCCTGCAAAGACACTCTGACGCTCAAGTAAGTGTTCGGCGTAATAAATGCGGTAGGTAGAAAAATTGGTTACATACCTCGAAGGTGGTCTATTTATAGGGTTTCTTATTGGGCCGTGATTAGGAGCTGGGCCCCGAAAAATTAGGGGGCTAATCCGGCTTATTCCTTAAATTAATCCTTTCGTAATCATATTGGTGGAGTCCTGGGGATCAGCCGAGTAGACCGATTCCTTCTGTTTGGCGAGGGGTCGGTTTGTTCGGGTATTGGTTTCGGTCTATGTTGGGTTCGGGTATTCGGTCGGATCGGTCAGGTCGGATCGGTCCCATACGGTATACAACCCCCGCAGCGTTGAGGATAGCAAGGACGAAGACGGTACTAAATGTGTGACATCATGGTTCTCGGTGGGAAAGCAGGGCAGTTTTGACTATTATTATCGACGTGCGTGTTCCTTGGTTTATGAGGACGTGCCTCTTGGTTTTCGGTCGTGCTCCAATATAAGAGGTGCGATTGGGTGGATTTAGCGGACTGAAACTTAACCTCGAGTGATGGGGTTTGGGCCGAGACCTTAGATGGATGAGGCCATACTACGGCCTCGGCAGGGCGAAGCCTGGGCCGGGCCTCGGGTGAGAGAAGTTTAGGCCGAGACCTTAAGCGTGAAATAACGCCTTCCGCTGGGCGAGGTTTAAGCCGAAACCTCAGACATGTAAAACCTGTGTCGAGACCTCAGGTGAGAGAAGTCTAGGCCGAGACCTCTGACATGTGAATCCATGCCACGACCTCGGTTGGACAAGTTTGGTGGAACGAAGTCTGTGTCGAGGTCTCAAGTGAGAAGTCTAGACAGAGACCTCTGACAAGCGAAGCCGTGCCGCGGCCTCGGTTGGCCGAGACGTAGGCCGAAACTTCAGACATGTGATGTCTTGCCGTGGCCTCGGTTGGACGAGATCTGAGCTTGAACGAGGCTAGGCCGGGACTCTGAATGGGTGGATCTCGTACCGCAATCAGGGCAGGGCGCGTCTATGCCGAGACCTTGGATGGGTGGATCGTTTACCGAGATCTTGATTGGGCCAAGGTGTCCGTGGGTGCGACCTGCCACATTGGCCCTAGCGGTTACCAGTCCAACGGTCATAAAATCTGGACCATTGGATGATGTAGATCGAACGGTCATGGCTCGGGGACGTCTTTTCACCTTCCCCATTTACCTTGCCTATAAATAGGGGGGTGGGCGTGAGAATTTACGTGCTGTAAATTTTCCAATCTCTCTCGAAACCAGACTCTTCCGAGCAAATCGAGCAAGGTAAAATTTTGTATTCTTTTATTTTGGCAATAAATGGACAAGGGTTATTCTTCGGCTAGGAGTTGGACGTCTTCGGAGGCGTCGGGTGCTTCGTCAGATAAAGAGGGGTCGGTTTCAAGTGAGATATCCAAGTTGCCCCCTCTACAATGTGAAGTGGTATTCCCTTCCGACCATCCCGAACAAGAGGACAACGGGGATGAGGTGGTCGAGGTTTCGCCTCCGATGACCTTGGCTCTGGCCTTGGCGCGGGCCACCGAGGTGGATGATAGGGGCTTAGGTCGGGTCGGTCAGCCAGACCCCCGTGCGATGTTGGAAATCGATGCGAGTGGGGATGAAGTGGAGGTGGTCGGCGATGCGCGTGGCAAGGG